AATAATTTTTTTACCCTTAATTTTTTTTTTTTTTTTTTTTAATTAAAAATTTTTTAAAAAATTTTTTTTTTTTTTTTTTTTTTTTTTTTTTTTTTTTTTTTTTTTTTAATTAACTAAATTAATATATTAATAGTTAGGTTTTTTAGTAGCGTACTTTTTAGCGCCGTATATAATTGCAGTTTTACAAATTTTTTTAGGTTTGTAATAAGCATTAAAAAAGTTTTTTAAAATAGCATATAGTTATATTAAATAGTTGTACTTGTTTTTAATAATTGCATATTAATTAAAAAAAAAAGTAATGTTTTTATGTTTTGTTTACTATAACAAAAAATAAAATTTTATATTTAGTAAACACTTAATAGCAAAAATAAAAAAGCTTAAAATAATATTATAATTGTATAAAATGTTTTATAATATTATATTAATATTATAAACTAAGATTTTAAGCTAAAAAAAAAAAAAAAAAAAAGGATAGCAAAGCTTGCGATTTTTTAGAATTAAATATAATACAATTACCATTTTGTAGGTTGTAGTTTGTGCGTTCCTTTATTTATATAACAATTTGGTAATAGTTTATACGTTACAATTTTAAGCTAAAAAAAATTTAACAAAGTTTATAATTTTTTAAAATTAAATATAATATAATTACTACTTTATAAATTATAATTTAACTTATATTATAAACAAGTTTTACACTTTTTTTAATGTATTTTATAAGTTAATTTTTTATGTAAAAATATTTACTCCACTTTTTAATAACTCCGCAAAAAAAATTTGTATAACAAAATAATTAATATTATTAAATTTGTAATGAAATAGCAAATTTAATAATATTTTCTTTTATTTTTTAACTATTTTATTTAAAGCGTTATTAAAAATTACGTTAAAATAATTTTTGCAAATTTGTTTTTTAAACCTATACGCCCAAATAAAATAGCTAAAAAATAAAAGAAAATATAATTAAATTTATTATTTTATTACGAATTTAATAATATTAATTATTTTGTTATATAACCTTTTTTCGCAAAGTTATTAAAAAGTGGAGTAAGTATTTCTGCATAAAAAATTAGCTTACAGGGTACACTAAAAAAAGTGTAAAACTTGCTTACGTGCAAAACTAGCTTGTGGAATGCGTTATATAAAACTTAATTAATATATTTTTATAACATTAATGAAAACATTAGTAATTTTTATAAAAAAGCAAATTATTAAGTGCAACTTTACTATTAAACTTATTATAAGTAGCTATATGTATTAAAGTGTTTGTAGCATTTATAGGACTACTTCCTTTACTTGTTACAACATTATCTATTATACAGACAACAAGCATATTGGTTAGGCCTTTAACACCTAGGGTTTGATCGCAACGGATACTTGTTGTTCCGGTGCCCCATTGCGATACCCACTATGGTGTCCACTATTTCCCCACTGTGTTACCACGGCACGCGGCCTTAGCCGAGGTAAAGAGGGGCCGCCTGACGTAATTGAGGTAATAAGAATTACCAATATATACCTTATCAAACCAGTCCCCCTCAACGAAAGAGACATTGGATGGCATCGCAAACGATCCATTTAGAGCTGTGATGGTGTAAGGGTAACATCTAGGCTTCCCAGTATCTTTCAATATACAAATTGCCTAGGCACCGAGTTCGAGTCTCGGTCACAGCACACCTTTTGCACTTCTTCATCTTCTTTTTTGAATATCACTCAATATTGGCAGAGTCTAGACACAGGACTTAACCCATTCTCAGCCATATTATGGCTGGTGAGTGCGCCTTAGCCCTGTGGAACGACCCCTTACCTAGTTATAGGTTAGCTCACTAGCTCTGTCGGCCAAGCACCCATCAGCCATCCAACACATCGCGATATGTAGTCAACCCAAGATAACTAGCATTGTAAGACTCGACAATAGTAGCGCAATGTTGTCATTTTTGTCCATGCCAAGCCCCGTATAATTAAGTAGCATGTATGTAGTCAAATCGCACCACTACCTATATCATCTTTAACACGGTCGCCCACGGGATCTATCAATTCGACATTGGCAAGTCCGACATCCGAGGTGGAGGGAATGCGACGACTAAATTGAAATGAAGCTTAATGTTCTCGAGGTGCCAAGCCAAAGCTGAGAGCGACACATCAAAAAGGGGAGCATTACTCCCGCCCCCAATGGATCGTAAGGTCTTTGATGTACCAAGGTCTAGCAGAGGTCTAGAGCTGCTTCCGAATAGCTGGAAAGCAGGGACGGCTTTCACCTAGGCGCTAAAAACAAGTTTCTTTGCCGTCGCAGCAACGGTACCGAGCCAATACAGCGGAACTTGCGGAATTAGTTTGAACTTTGGAATACTTATGACTTATACGACAGTGCTCTGAGATGCAAGCCCTTGCTTTAAAAAAAAAATAAAAAAAAGAGTTGTCTAGAAGTCGGAGAGGTAAGTATAGTGAGGGCATGGGATGGATACATTCAGGCCAAGAAATTTGAAGTACAATAAATGCTGTCAAGGTAGATGAATGGGATGCCCGCCAGAGTCTACTTTCAAAAGGAGAGCTATGGTGGTATGGTAATCCCGCAGCACCGTGATGTCTACGTCTGCCTGCATGGTATAGCGCAAACCCCGGCGCATGAAGCTTAAAAAAACATAATTATCCCCTTTCTTCTTCATCTCACGGTTGATATACAAACAGTACCCCAACTGAGATGCCCGACAATTCTTCGTCATGACGGTCGCGAGAGTAATAACGCTACGCCGGGGTGTCACTATACGGTTAGCACTTTGTACTTCAATTCAATGACTCACTACCTAATTAGGCTCAGGGTCTTACAGTTGAATACACTGTTCATATCCAGTATGCTTATTCTGGAATTTCTGTACTCTAAACTATCGTCATCATACACGAATTGCCTAAATAGGAAATAGGAAATTGGGGCTAGTTGGAATACGGCGTATTCCTCCCAGGCATAGATGACAGTGATCAACATCCTCATAAAAAATATAACGGTCATTTGACATGGAATCTAAGGTATATTAAATAATGCTGTAACTCTCATTGTTCGTTTGTTTTTCATCGTTGTTATTTAATCTTTTTAATTATTCTTCATACATATCATTGCGTGGATTGCCATCTGGTTGGAGTCGCAATTATGTCCACTTGTACCCTAGTATCATCCGCCTCACAAGCTATTATTAGAGGGGCATCACTTACACACACACATCCCGACTTGTGTGCACCCTCACTTTCGATCAACACGCTAAGAAAAATCAATGTGTGTACAATAAGACAGTATGATATTAGGTCAAGAATAACCCTCCCAACGGGTGCCCGCCTCCTGTCGTCGTCCTCTACACCAGCTAAGAAAGATGCTGTAACCAATGCTGGAAAGAATAGCTCGGCGCCGCAATCAAGACCCGGAAGCCGCCAAACGTCGGCGCCGTCAGAAGACGACTTCAAAGTCAGTTTCCTCGACCTCGGTATGAACCGTATCACCAAGTTCGTGGTATACGCCGTTCTCTGTGTATTCGGCACTATGGAGACTATCTTCTGGTGCAAGACACTCGTAAGTACATGAACCACAGGTCATCCCGCCACTCTGTTTAGGCTTGTATGTATTTCAAGGGGTGACGGCTAACCTGAGATGATGGGCGTAGTGGCGCTGGTGGACAGGTGGTGAGGAGGACAACGAATGAATGAAATGGGTGGTGGCAGTTGACACGTCCCTGACATAAAGAGGGTCGACTGTCCTTGTAAAATAGGTGTTTGTTTTCTCTGGGGGCGTTGCTTGCCTCTCTCCGCGGCTGGTCTAAAATAAGAGGTAGCAATGGAGATGGGGCTTTTAGTTGATCTCGCTACTCTGATCGTATTTGTGCCAGCACAATAGATTGTTTTAATCAAGCTTCACGATTTCATCTCTATGTCAAACTCCTTGAAAATATATTGATATGCCCTAGAGAACGTACGCTGTCCCTCGCGTATTACTTTACAAGCAAGCAATTTCATAAACTTATAAACTTAGTATAAGATTTTTTGGTGTAATAACAGATGTTTATTATCTTCTCATACTTGGGTTATGACAGCTTTAAGTGTATATCGGATTATTTAGTACTATTGCGTGCTATAGTACGAAAATGCCCAGGTCATGACTGTACGTCACTAGGAAATAGTCTCAAAAGTTTTTTTTTCTAAATGTTTCGTTTAGGTTCCCACCGCCCGCGGTCTAGGTTAAGGAAACAACCGGTTTTCGTAGGTATCCAAAGCCACTGCCCAACATTGATCTTCGACGCGAGATATCACCTGCTTGAATGGGTTTTATTGGTCCCGGGGTTTCGTTGGGCAGGTTGTCGATATCCCTGTTGCTATAATTAAGAAACAATATCCCTAATAGTGGCTCGCAGGTAGTCAACGTGCCCCTCAACGCCTTCTCGTCAGTATGCTCCCATACGCCCTGTCCCTCAGTTGAGATGGTGGTTTAGTGTCGGTCTAGACGCCTATATGTCAATGTGAAACGGACCAACTTCTTGTTATGTATCTGAGAGCTGCGTTGTCAACGCGCGCTAATGTGCATGACTGACAGCTTCTACCTATAAATGAGAGTTGATGGGAAACGAAGTCCCAGGACCCTGGTCTCCTCGTTCGGTCCTTGCATACAACACGGGAAAAAAAAACATGGTGGTGTACACGTGTATGGGTAGGATCTGGGAATTGTTAGCGTTTCTATTTCCACTCGTGGTGGATACGAAGATAAATACCAAGCAGATTAGCGGGCCAACATAACATCATGGCTGATGCAATAACACGGTCAAATATAAAAGACGTAGTGTAAAACGCTACGCTACGCTATACACCTGGCGATGAGGCTTTGGCGGTGAGAAGCTTTTACGGATTTGTTCCACCGGATAAATCAATCGTCACACGCAAATCAAGAAGGACTTTTCGAAGATCAATCAATAGAGGTAGATCAATATCTACCTACCTACCTGCCTACCTACCTAGGTAAGTACTTACTTATATAATTAATTCGTCATGAAACGCCAGACAGTACACTATCCGCGCACACCACCGCCACTTTCTGAGCTTTGCTCAGAACTGAAAGAAGCAATGTAAGGTACAAAGGTTAGCGATAGGTACCCGACTCACCTGCAGAAAAAGCTCCACTACCTAATCCTGTACCCGGAACCTGTACCTACATAGTACATACTACCTACAATATGTACACTACAGTAGTACTAGTCGGACCCTGAACGTGAATCTCGCGGTCTAGCCCTTAGCAGAACCCAAATACCAGGACGATTGGCTGCCGGCCTCTTCCGCTCTGCTTCCTAGATGGGTACCGTAGCGCCGCACTAGTCCGTTTATGGAAGCATTTGGCAACTTACGATGAGACGTTAGCCACACCGAATCAAGCCACCGAGGTCCCCTGTCCCGGTCCCTTGTCCGAAAAAGAGATGGAATTAAACGAAATGGAAACCATACAGCTGGGCTGATATCACAGCCGAGAGGTCTGGTCTTCTCGCCATCTCTCCTTATTCTATACTACTCGACTAATGTGTGTCGTTCTTACGCTCGTTCTTTTCTCCATGTCTGTATCCCCCTTCTCTCTTATCTAATACCATACCTTTGTTAATAAGATAATTAATTCCGAGCTGTTATACCTTGATGGCTCCCGCTATTGAAGAACCTGTTGGGGCAGGAGAGAACGGTTCTGCAGTGGAAGAAGTCAGGCCATATAGGATACATGTGAGTTACTCGTTGGGATTCTTGAAATATGTGGTCAATATACGGGTAACTAATCCCATGCTCCTTGTTAGGTTTCCTCTCGATATCTCAACCTCACTAAGCAGAAACTTGAGATCGCACGACTACCTCATGAGCTTGATGAGCCTAAATCCAAGGATTGGTGGCAGCCAAAGTCTCAAGTTGAACCTCTTATTGACTTCTGGTATGTTACAACTCTCCCTAAGGTTCTGTATATCTAGATATAAGTCACACTGCACGTCGTCCATCGACGACTTATGACAGAGACAGGATTAATACAAATGTATGTACTGACGTCAGCAGGCTCGAACAATATCAATGGCGGGACCAAGAAGAGATATTAAATAGTCTTCCACAGTTCCGTACGGGCTTCAATATCCCTAATTCTGAATCGCCTATCAGAATTCAGTTTATTCACGTTCGCTCACCCGGCGCAAACGTAATACCTTTATTATTAATACCCCCATTTCCTTTCTCAAGCCTTTCCTTTGGGCATTTAATCAAGCTATTTACCGAACCCGAGGAGGCGAATCACCAACCCTTCCATCTGGTTATCCCCTCACTGCCAGGCTTAGGCTTCAGTGACGCGCTCCCGACGAACTCTGCCGTTATATCCTCTACGGCGGATCTACTTGACTCCTTAATGAAACGTCTTGGTTACTCCTTTTACCTAGCGACCAATGCGGGCGCGGGGGCCCTTTCACCGGCCCATATCGACTATAAACTTGCTGATTGGTTATCCACACAATATCCGGACTCATGTCTCGGAACCCATCTCGTCTCGCCGCCACTAACGCAACCGAGACTAAAAGAGGCGCCCCTAGCGTGGGCGAGATGGTCCATCGCCCGTTATTTCGAGGCTTCCGTATTGGGATACCGTTCGGATGACTTTTCCGCCCTTAGACAAAGTGGCTGGTCTA